GAAGAAAAGACGAAGACAATATCGGCATTAATAAGGGGTATAATATACCCCGTTGCTGCTCCATTAGCCGCTGTTGCTGCTGTTGCTGCTGCAGTGCTGCAGCTGCTGCTGTTGGAGAGAGTTAAGAGAAGAAGAAAGAAGAGAAGAAAGACAAGAAGAAAGAAGAAAAAAGTAACCTTGCTGCTGCATAACTCTCCTCATTTAATGACAAATAAATAAACAAAAAGAAGATTTACTTTTATTTCAATGAATATAACAAAAATAAATAAAAAAAAGAAAGAAAAAAGAAAACAGACAGCTGCCTATACACCCCGTTGTGAGCTGCTGCATATACACCCCAATTAGAAAAAAAAAAGGAAATCTGCAAAAAATAAAAACAAAGAAAAGAATCTTTTTTTGTTTATTTTTATTTTAAAGATTAAATTAAAGAAGAATATATAAAAAAGAAATAAAAAAGAATATCCTTTATTTGTATAAATGTGCCCATTGGTTATGTATTTCTTCCCTTTGTTGGCTGGTGGTGGTTCTTCTTTTTCCTTAAATAAAAAGCTCTTATTTGTTTATTTTTTGTCCTTTTTATCATTAAATTTAATTATATTTAAATAAAATTAAATATAAATTAAATAATTTAACCAATGAAAGAATTAAATTCATCTATTTATTTACTTTTCCTTATTATTCACCATCACCCATCATACACACAGTTGTTGTGGTGTATGTACACCGTAGGCCTCTAGTAGACCAGCCGCCCGCCATATAAGGTTCTTGTCTGCTCCTATGAGGATATATTTACTAATTATAGATATAAAACAATTAAAAATAAATAAAATAGACAATTTAAAATAAAATAAAAGTAATTTATTTCTTTTTCCTACAAAATTATATTTTTTTCTCTTCTTTTCCCCTCTTCCCTCCCCTTTCCCATGCAGCAGTACCAGCAGAGCAGCAACAGAAACAGCTGCGCATACACCCGAGAACCGGTAGGTAGAAATACAAAATAAATAGAAAGAAGAATAAAAATAAATAAAAAAAGAAGAAGAAAATAAATAAAATAAAACAAATTAAAAGTATTAAATTAAATATTTATTTATTTTCCTTCCCTTTCTCTTCTATAAAGAAGAATTACCTCTTTTCCTTTTTTTCCTTCTTTTTACCAATTAACGACCTCCCTTTTTCCCCCTCCCTCTTTATGATTTGTTTATTATTACACCTACGTAACTAATAGAGACTTTATGCTAATTTACATAATATATAACTAATTAATTTATAATAACTACATACTACATTGTACGTATAATATAAATATACTATCTATATTATATACTATATATATATAATAATATATAAATATATATATGTATATATGCTATGTATTATACATATATATGTACACTGTATAAGGTGTATATAATAAATAATATATAAGGAGGGAAAGAGATAAGAAATTCCTTCCGTAATTATATTCTTTTTACTATACAATTAACTATCCTCTCTTTTTCTCTTTTCTTCTTTGTAACTAAATTGTTTTATTTTAATTAAAAGAAAAGAAAAAAAACATTTAATTCTAAATTAATATATCTAAATAATATCTAGGGTTTAGGGTTTAGGGTTTAGGGTTTAGGGTTTAGGGTTTAGGGTTTAGGGTTTAGACTAAATTATTTTTTTTCTACCTCTAAAATATTTGCATGCAAAGTGAGGTGTACATACACCCCAACAAAAAAAGAAATAAAATGGCAGCCTCTTAATCAATTGTTTATTTTGTTTTTTCTTCTTGCTGCTGTTGCTGCTGCTGCTGCTGCTGCTGTTTCTTGCGTTAATATAAAAACAGACAAATAAACGGATATAAAACAGAGAGACAAAAGGCACAGCAAACATGCATGCATGCATATTCATGCATGTATGCATGCATGCATGCACGCATGCACAGATGCATGCATGCATACACTGATGCATGCACGCAAGTTTTGATGCATGCACTGATGCATGCACGGATGTTTGCATGCATCCTTGTGTATAAATATCCAACTAGCCCCGTCTCCCTTAAACCCCTGCATGCATGCATAAATGCATGCATGCCTGATCTGCATGCATGCATGCAGATCCAGCCCCAATCCATTCCGTTTATTTGTGTTGTATTTTTCTTTGTTTAGCGCTGCCTCTTTCCTTCCTTTATTAATTAAAAGGAGGAAATCTTTTATTTATTTATTTATTTATTTATTTGTTTATTTCCCCTGGTTGCTCAATTAACAACGAATATGCGTAAATATGCCTCTTCTTGCATGCATGCATGCATGCATGTATATATGCCTGCTTCCGTGAATACATGCATGCATGCATGAATCTGCATGCACGTGCATGCAAAGATACTTCCATGCATGCATCTTTCTCTCCCCCGTTATCCTGCATGCATGCATATACTACCACCTGCATGCATGCATATAAATATAAATATATATATATATTTGCATGCATGCAGATATAATATAATAAATGAATAAATTTATAATTCCTCAACATTATTGCCTTCTCCTTCTCCTCTTTCTTCTTCCTCGTCTTCGTCTTCCTCCTCTCCTTCCCCCTCTATAGGTAAATCATCATTATCTTCTTCCCCTTTTTCCTCAGGAAAAGGCAAAAGGAGTAAATATTCTTTATATAAGAAATGTTGACGAACAAGAGGAGAAGATAATTGTCTTATTTTATTACATAATTGTTTATTATTATTGAGTGTATATTCATACTCAATAAGTGCTTGTTTTTGTTTATTATTATTAATTAATAAGGATAAATCTTCTTGTTTATATTTATACATAAAATAACGTAATTTAGTTAATTTATATCCTTTTATGAATAATATTTCTTGTTGTTTATATAATTCATATAAATAATTAATTATTTTTATTATTCTTTTTAATTTTTTATTTATATTTATATTTTTTCCCCATTTATTTATTAAATCTTCTTTTCCTTTATTTATATATTTTATTAATATCTTACTATTATATGTCCATTCTTTTCCTTTTTTTATTAATTCTTTTCTTTTATTATAATATTCTTCTCCTTTTATATTAGGGTTACTTAATTCTATTTTTATAGTAAAAAATTTATTATATGTACGTATACAATTAGCTAAACAATATGCATAACGATTCATGAATTCATTTACATCCCTTTTTTCCTCATCAATACTACTTAATCTATTTAATATATCTTGCATACCCTCAAGGGAACCAGGAGGAAAAAGTTGTTTTTCTTGTGCATCTTTAGATAGGGAATATAAGCTACGTAAATATAATTTAAGGTCTGATTCATCCATTGCTTGTATTTCTGCAACTTTTATATCTATTTCTTTTTCTTCTTCTTCTCTTCTTTTTTCTTCTTCATCTTTTTCTTCTTTTTCTTCTTCTTCTTCTCTATATAATTCATCTTTTGATTGATTCTTCTCCATTTCTTCTTTTTCTTTCTCAAGTTCCTTCTCTTCTGCTGCTTCTGCTGCTGCTATTGCTGCTGCTGCTGTTGCTGCTGATGTTGATTCAGATCCATCGTCATTCGCCAATAAATTCTCTAATAAAGATTCAGATGCATCTGTAGAAGATACATCACCAGCAAGCGCAACGGCTGCTGCAGCTATGGCTATATTACGCGAAAAACGCCACATATTGAATACTATAACTTCTTAACAAATCAATTATCCTTCAGTATATATTTAATATATATTTATTTATATAATTAAGAATGTATAAAAAGAATCACCAATAATCATATATATATATCACAATCACCCTCTTATATTCTATATTTGTTCTTCCTTCCTTCTTCTTGACCGCTCAACACAGCCAACACAACCTACTACTACTCCCCCTCATAAAAGGGGGGAAAGCAGCACGATCTGACCGTAAAATTGAATATTATTCAATATTAATTAAGTAAATTATCATAAATAATCATAAAATATACATAATTTACTCTAAAATAACACAGAAAGAGGAGGATCGCGCACCACCACGGCAGCAAACGTCAACCAATGAGCCAACAGCAGCACCAGCACAGAGCGGATCGTTTTTTGCGGTGTACGTACAACGTGCGTGACTGTTTCTTGAATTTTCCTCCTTTTTTATCCTTATTTTCCCTCTTTTATGTCTATTTTGACTCATTTAATTCATTTTATATATATTTATAACATTATAGTCGCTATTTACTCCCTTTTTCCTTCATGTATATAGCTGTTAGTACCCCCTTGTTCGTCTTCGACTCCTGTTACCGCCGCGCCTCCTTGCTTCCAAGCAAGCCTTATGCATGCATGCATAATGCATGCATAATTTAAATTATTTATTTAATATTATTATTTAATTTATACAGTTTTTGTTAAATATAATAAAAAAAGAGGAAATAATTACGATTTTCTTCCCTCAATTGTACTGCTTACTCCCCTTAGTGGCTAACAATCGCTCACCACCAGCACATCGATACTGTATCTGTATACGTACATATATATGTATATGTATATGTAATTTATATGTATATATACATGCATATATTATACATATAATACATATATGTATATATTTTGCCTCTCTTTATGTATATTATACATAAAATATATCTCCTTATCTCTGCTTTATTACGCGCCTTGTACATAACTGCATGCAACGTCTTCGGGCACAGAAGTAACTACGTATATATATGTATTTATATATGTATATATATACATATATATACATATATATACATATATATGTATATATATACATGTATATACATATATAATATACACATACGTATATATACACATATATACAGCAGTAGATTACTTGCTGCTTCTTCCTCCTCTGCGCATACACCAGAGAAACAACAATAAGATGTTAGTTAGCAGCAACAATAGCAAACACTGCAGCAGCAGCAGCAGCAGCATCAGAAGCAGCAGAAGCAGCAGCAGAAGCAGCTCAGGAGCAGCAGCAGAAGCAGCAGCAATGCTACAGCTATAACAACTGCCTCTATACTATGAGTAACCGAATAACTGCAGCAGCAGCAGCAGCAGCAGCAGCAGCAGAACTATTAAGCATATTTATTTAGTTTATAATAAATAATAATAAATAATAATAAATAATAGACACACATAATAAAAAGCTATTAAATAAATAAATAAATAAATAAATAAATAAATAAATAAATAAATAAATAAATTAATAAATAAATAAATAAATAAATAAATAAATAAATAAAGGTAAATAAAGAAAATAATAATTAAAAAGAATGTTTTTTATAATCCCTCGTCGATGTAATCAGGACAAACAAAGCTAGTCCTTCCTGCTGCTGCTGCTGCTGCTGCTTCTGCTGCAGCTGCAGCAGCAGCAGCAACTGTAGCAGCAACAGCAGCAGGTGCTGTCTGGCAGTGCTCCTCCTGGTGCAACTGCTTCTGCTACAGTTGCTCCTCCAGCTGCTGCAGTTGCCTCTGCTTCTGCTGCTGCTGCTGCTGCTGCTGCTGCTGCTGCTGCCAAAACACACTTAGTCTCTATCACTAACTGCAGCAACAACAGC